CTACAGGCAGCACCAACACAAGAACAACCAGTGGTATATGCATCAGTTAACAACAAAGTAATGATAATGTACATGTACATGTAATGGTATCTTATACATCCTCTCTCTCTCTCCTCCTAGTCTGTTCCTCCTCCCATTCCTCCTCCAGCTGCTCCTCATAAAGTATTGTATGCTGATCTATCAATAGCAGCTGGTAAGAGAACACCAAAGAATAAACCACCCACTGAGGAAAGAGTAGTCCATGCAGCAGTCAATGGAAATGTAAGCCAATGCACATTATACTGTATGGAGTGACACACCTTTATCTCTCACCACCTCTCTCTCTGTCCCTCTCTCTCCCCCTCTCCTCCAGAGGAAGTCCACTACTCAAGAGCTGATCATGGATAGGTTAGGTGGTCTGGACATTCCTCCTCCAATACCACCAAAACCAAGACCTTGAAACCAACACAAAGACATCAATCCTCCCTGTCTCCAGTAGTATAGAATGGACATACTTTAGTATAATGTATTGTGAAACAATTAACTCTATCTTGTATTCTCTCTCTCTGTCTTTCATTATAATGTCATGGGTATATAGTGTATATTCTTTTGTAATTTTTAGTTCATTCTAATCAACAGAACTGATGATGTATAAAGTATTATAAAGTTCTAGTTAACGACAGCAATATCAATGGTTCATCTACTCAATACAATTTTACTGGGAACAATCCTAATATATAACTATTGATGATCTTGAAGTTGATACTATTGGAAGAGAAGGACCACCTCCTTCATGATTAATACAGAATTGAAGCAACTTTAAAAAATCATAGAAAATCCAAACTTGATCGGAATCAGCTCAACCTTTCTACACAGTATAAGTACATGTATATGCATCAGAAAAACTAGTAAAATTGAGGAATTTTCTACTAGTCAATTTTGACGAAATTTTACAAGAATCCCTGTACTATAGGTACAGGGAGTTTTGTCCAATTTTGAAGCAACATTAAAAAACCATAGAAAATCCAACTTGATTGGAATCAGCCCAAACTTTCTACACAGTATAAGTACATGTATATGCATCAGGAAATATAATAAAATTGAGGAATTTTCTACTTGTCAGTTTTTGTGAAATTTTACAAAAATTCCATGTACTATAGTACAGAGACTTTTGTCCAATGCTGGAGCAACTTTAAGAAATCATAAAAAATCCAAACATAATTGGAATCAGCTCAAACCATTACCACAATTAACTTGTAGAAGATTAATCATCAGTGGTTAGTTAATAATACTGGTAGATCTATATCTAATATATCTATATATTATACATACACATTCAGTTGCTATTGCAGTACCTATCACTGGTCTATTAACTGGACTCATTACATCAATAATTACTAGTATCATTGTATACTGTATAATGAAGAATAAAGGGAATAAACAACAAACACAGGGAGGAGCAGCAACAATATATAATTACCAATTAATAAACAACAACAAGAAGATATTATTAATACATACACTAACACTGCTTATGGACATATTAATTATTAATGATGTCAATTTTTATTTTAAAGTAGCAGCAGTAATCAGTAATCTAATAAGAATTCACATCTTTGACATGTCCTTTTTAATACCAACATTGGCTTTCAAATAGGTCATAACATTACATCCTTTTCATCAGAAGATTTTGTCAATAAATTTGTAGCCGAGACCCCGTTGAAGTTGGCATCATAGATACTACATACACACATGGATATGAAACAGGATGCGCTCGATCCTTGGCACCGGAAGTGATGTATTGTGACGTTTACACTACACGTGTATAAGCATGGCGCAAGCAAAATAGTGAAGAAATCCAGTTGAATTACTTACTAAAGCTCAGGTCTACGACTATATAAGAGTTGCAATCGATATTCTAGTTCTAAAAAGTGAAGATCTACTATTACAAGAAAGAATGCACTGTGCTAAGTAGTAAAAAAATTATTATTTAAATTATTATCATTATAATGATTATTCTATTCTTCAGTGACCCAATAGATTGATTATTATTATGAGTCCTTCAACAAATTTTAACTATAAAAATAGCAATAAAAACATTGACAACAATTATTATAAGCCGCACTTACTGTATCACCATACAGTACATACTGTAATGTACATCATCTCTATCTTGATAGTTCTCTGTGGTAGCATAAATATAAAGCTTTACAATCATGTAGCAATGTCTCATCAATGCCACTGAAATCCTGCTTGTGTTTCTTGGTAAATAACCTATTCTTTCACTGCTCAGTTCTCACTAAAAATTAAACCACACCCTTTGAAACACTTGCAAAAAATATATTATTACGTTTGAAACATAGCATCTAGAAAAATGAAACCATAAACAGTCTATATAAGAGGCCTTAATGAATACACTCAAAGTAGTAACTTGTTCGTACCTGGTGCAGAAGTCTCAAAAAGGTGGTTACAAAATTAATATTAAAAAAATAGTTTTTGGCTATTATCTCAGTCATTTCTCATTACATTGACACGAGAATAGTTTCAGTCCATGTAACAAACAATACACTATTATGATTCCAAGACTTACTAGCTAACTCCGTTCGAGAGTCTAGAAAAGGTGGTTACAAATAAAAATGGAGGTCTTCTGTTTTTGCAAAGCATCTAGAGACAGGAATGGGTCATGTAAACATGAGGCCTGTTGACAAAATGAAATGAGAATATATTTATTAGGTCTACTGAACAAAACAAAAACACCTATATACCTTCTTTCACAAAAATAAGTGAGTCAAGAAAATTCTTGAAAACATAGACAGAGAGAAAAGCGCCAAGGATAGAGCTATGCTGGTTATGACGTTTACAGGTGAACTTCAAAGAGTTAATTGGATACCGACTTCCTGTTTCATATCCATGTGTGTATCATGTGTAGTATCAGGAGCCCATAAAAGAAAAAGGGAAGGGTAGGAGCGCGCAACACCCACGCATTTAATTAAAATCACTGTAGCCTGCATATCCTAATGAGTTTACTATTTTTAGAACAAGGTAAACCACACCCGTTTAATAAAATGGCTACCAGTGTGAAGGTTGCTCTGAAAAAGAAGCTGTTTACATCTCAAGACACTGTACCAGCAACAGATTTATTGAAAGAACTTAAAAAGATAAGTATGCTA